TAAAGTTAGCAGAGTTACAACTAAAAATAACACAAAGGAAAAGGACTACAGAGACGACTCGGTGATTAGGAGTGTGCTCTGCTCTCAGAGACTCAGTTCAATCCCCAACACCCATCTTGGCAGCTCACAATTGCCTATAACTCCAACACCAGGGAGATCCAACTCCTCTGGCCTTTTCTCGCGCATGCACACACACACACACACACAACACACACCCCTAAAAATCTATAAAAAGGAGAGAGAAAGGAAGAGAATGAAGGGCGTTCTGTCAGATAGATAGCCCAGAACAATATTCTTGCTGAAGGAAATATGGGAACAACACCTGAAAAAGCAACCACAGCAGGAGGGGGAAAAAGCAAAAGCCAGTGGCACACATCTGTAGTCCTAACAATTGAGAATCTGAGGCAGGAAGACAGGGAGTTCAAGGTCAACCTTGGCTACATAAGAAAAGCTACAGTACTTTTCCAGTGGATTGTAATAACTGTGTCCAAGCATTCAATCTCTTTTCCCTTTCTTTGCAAACACTGGAATCTAAATTTGTTTTATTATTCTTCTTTTGAAACAGTCTCCTTATACAGTCCACACTGACCTTACACTCACAATCCTACCACTACCAGGTTCAATTTCTAATTAAGCTCCCACTACCCTTTCTGGTATTGGAATGGAATATAAAGCCTCACATATGCTACCACTGAGATAGCCAACCCATTTTTACTTATTTTGAGACACAGGCTCACTAAGTTGACTAAGCTGTCAAACACTTTATGATGGGGGCTGGGCTGGAGGGGGAGTAGGGGAGAGCAGGAGGGGAGGGAGGGGGACTGTGTTTGGTACGTAAAATGAATAAAATATTTTAAATAAAAAAAGGGGAAAAAAACCCTTAATGGCCTTCTTACCCTACTTCCAGTAGCTGGGATTACAATTCTGAGCCGACAGTCCTAGCTCTAATTTAATCTTAGGTTAACAATACTATTTATTCACTCAGAATGTATCTAAACACGAGGCATGTGATGGTGGTATCAGGTCTATGAGGGACTGTTTCTCCTCACTCTGGGGAAGAGTTACAACTTCCTTTGTATTTTCTTAGCTAGAATATAGACTTGTTTAATTACTATTACAAATCTCAAACACATGCAAGAGCTAAGCAACTATATTGTGGACTGTTGCAGTACGCCTCAGGTTCACCTTTAACACAGGTTACATAACAGAATACTAGTTCTTTCCCCTTGCACCTTTGCTATTTGCTATGTAGCTCAGGCTGGTCCTGAGTTGCACCTGCCTATCTTCCAAGTGCTATGACAATAGGTGTCCATCAACAAGACTCTGCATTGTGACATTTTAAGACAGTAAATGTGTTAAAACTTGTTAGATGGGCTGGAAAGATGGCTCAGCGGTTAAGAGCACTGATTGTTCTTCCAGAGGTCCTGAGTTCAATTCCCAGCAACCACATGGTGGCTCACACCCACCTTGGATGAGATCTGGTGCCCTCTGCTGGCGTGCAGGCAGAACACTGCATACATAATAAATAAAATCTTAAAAAAAAAAACACAAAACTTGTTAGGCACTAATTAGTAAGTATGCAAATGTTCTGTTTTTATTTTTTTAGACAAGTGTTTTCTAATGAAGTCACTGACTTGAGAGGGGTCCGCACCTTGTGTGGAGGACAGAAACCTAGCTTAGTGGCACGGCATTTGTTTAGCATTCCCATGGCCCCACATTCCAAGGGTAGGAAAAGGAGAAGATGTCAAAGACATTCATCTGCATGGTACTATCACTGATTTATCCCTTCAATTTATTGTAAGATGAGTCTCCTGTCTCCACCTACTGAGTCCCAGAATTACAGTATATACAGTACCCAGGGCTCCCTGCATACTAGACAAGCACTCTGCCAACTGAACCATATCCCCAGCCCTCACAGTTGTTTCTAACTGAATACAATTTTAGATAATAATTGTGAATAGTTCAAATTATTTCTTCACTAAATTCCGTCACAAGCATTATATGAACAACCTTATCAACTGTATGGTAACAACTCCTTATTAGTTTTTTTTGTTTTACTTTTTTGGTTTGGTTCGATGGGTTTTCTGAGACAAGGTCTCATGTAGCCTAGGTTTACCTGGAACTCAGTATGTCACTCAGGTTGACCTAGAACTCAATATCCTCCTGCTTCACCTTCAAAATATTGGGATTACAAGTACCCATTACCATGCCTAGCTTCCCCTCATCTTGTTTTTTTACTCCTCTGACACCATCAATTTTTAATCTATAACCCTTAAAAGGCAAATATAGAACATGGATATTGTCAAGCCAAAGTATCCCCTGATATTTCAGCTACACCACACTGGCAGGGGAGTCTTCTGGTCATTTACCCCTGGAGTGGTTCCAACTTGTGTCAGTATCTGTAGGCAGACACATAGGACTGGTTCCTCCTGTAAGGAGAACTAGAACATTCCCCCAGGGAAATTGAGTCCTAGTTTAGACAGGGGAAACACAAGGCAGTCTAAAAACCACTCAAAGAGGCTTTGACTCTTTAGGATCAAAAACATTTCCTAAGATTAATAACATAGGTGAATTTTCTAGTCTGTTTTGTTTCATTGTTGTGATTATTTTATTCTATAGGTGTGAGTGTTTTGTCTGCATATATGTCTGCGCACCACTTGTATGCATGGTGCCCACGGAGGCCAGAGAGGGCACCCGATTCCCCTGGAACTGGACTTACAGATGGCGCGGGCTGCCATGTGGGTGCTAGAAATCAAACCCAGGTCCTCTGCAAGAGCAGCCAGTGTTCTTAACCACTGAACCCCCTTGCTTATTTAGATAGGGTCTTGCAATAATATAGCTTTGAATGGCTTCAAACTTGCAGCAATCCTCCTGCCTCTGTCTCCACCACCCAATTTCTGGGATAAGAGTTTGTGTACCACCAAAGAAAATAAGTAAAATTACTGCCAAGCCTAGGATTAGCTCAAAGCTCTCCTCTTGCACTGTACAAATCTAATTAGTCACTGCTTACCATCCTCTCTTCGCCTCTTACGTCCGTCTCTTTCAACACAGCTATTCCGACACCCTGTCATTTAGTCTCAACTTAGAACTCACTTCTCTTGGAGTGAATATGATCAAAATACATTATATGAATGTATTAAAATGTCATAATGAAACCCATTATTTGGTACAACGAATATATTCAAGTAAAAAGGTATATGAAACCATTATGCTGGGGGCTGGGGGAAGACAAATAGAGAAGGAAGGAGGAAGAAGAAAAGCACAAAGCCCAGAGGGACAGCTGAATGTGTAAAGACATTTGCCACCAGGCCCAAAATTCCCTGAGTTCAATTCCCAGGACCCACATGATAGAAGGAAAGAATGGACTCCAGTAGGTTATCCTCAGACTCCCCACACACAACACAGCATATACATGCACTCATGTGGACAAAATAAAATGTAGTTTAAGAAGTAAAAAGACTGGGGATGTAGCTTGGTGATAGAGCACTCATCATGTCCAAGGCTTTAGGTTCAGCACTCCCCAGTCTTTCTACCTGTCTGTCTCTCTCACACTTGAAAACACACACACACACACACACACACACACACACACACACACACACACACTTTTATTTCCTTTATGTACTCTCATATACCAATAGAATATATTAACTCAATACAGTATATTAACTTCCAAAACTCTGATCAATTTGTAATCCATTTATTCTGATTTTAAGAACAAGCTTAGCTGGATTTCTTTGGATGCCCTGCCCCTTCCTTTGTAGTGCTGAGGATGAAACCCAAGGCCTCAAATATTCTAGGCACTCTACCACTTCTCACTCAGCCATTAAAGCATCAATTAGTCTACAGAAAAAAAATGTTAAAATGGAGAAAAAAATTTTAAATGGGCAAAAATGCCAAAAACCCCAAACCATCAAAATATACACAGAAATATACACCCCCTGAAAAAGCATAGCAAACATGACTGCTCTCTCAGGTCAAAGAATCTAAAAGACATCTGAAATTTTCTTTAAGAACCATAAAGGGGACTGAAGAGATAAATGGCTTACCAGTGAAGAGTACATACTGCTCTTCTAGAACCAGAGATCTGGTTCCCAACACCACACTAGGTGGCTCACAACCTCCTGTAACTCCAGCTCCAGGGACCCCATGCCCTTTTCTGACATCCCAGGGCAGTGCACTCGAAGGCATAAACACACACTCCATACATAAATATCGAATTTTAAAAAATAATTAAAATTTAAATATATTAAACACCAAAAAAAAAAAAAAACGCCTTGACGAGGTCTGGTTTATAGTTCAGTGGTAGAGAGCTTACCCAACATGCACAAAGCCCTACATTCAACTGCCAATATCACAAAAAACAAAACAAAGAAACTTTGAAGAGATCTTGGATGCAAAAACACGCAATTTTATAACAACGAAGAATACTGATTTCACACAAAGAAGATATTAAATAACATTATTTTAACTATCTTGGTTGAAACATTACTTTTAAGGTCTTACTTTTTTTTTAGAAGATGCATTACCCATTCTGTAAAAGTATCGTGTCTGAAATTCTTAACTTATCTCAAATAGTTCACCGTAAAACGTTATTTTATTTTTCCTTGGAAAAAGCCAATCGGTACTAACCCAACAAAGCCTCCATTTTTTAAAGTCTGCAAGGAGGCACGGGCCTACCACGTTCAGACAATAGCTAACTATTTGGGCTAGGGTGTAGCTCAGCAGGAGAGTACTTAGCATCATGAGGCCCCGAGTTGCACCCCCAGCATCAATGAGAGTAACTTGTTATCCTCACTTTTCTTCCACACAAAGAGATGCGTGTAGGGTGTATGTAGGTTTATATTTACACACTGATAAATGCATCCGGCCTAAGTGTATAAGAAAGTTACCTTTTTAAAAAAAAAACAAAATCAAACTGCAATGTGTCTCAGGTAAAAAGATGCCCTTTCCACACACACACAAAAAGGAAAAGCGAAGAAAGGGCTGTCCTCACCCACCTTTCGGCCACAGCTGGGCTGCAGGCAGCAGACAGCGTCGCCCGGTGCGGGAGTGGAAGATGCAGCGCCTCCGTGTGATGCCGATGGCGGAAAGTCTGCTCTTTCGGGGCGGGGGACAAGTCCACAAAGGTTAGTCTACACAGGTTACGGAAGAAAG